AGAGAGAAGAGATACAGAGAGTACAATTTAAAAATGGGACAAACCTTAACAGACACCTCACCAAAGATATAAAGATGCTCAACACTATATGCCATTAGGTAATTGCAAATTAAATCGAAATACCACTCCAACAAACCTATTAGAATGGGTAAAATCCAAAATACTGACATCATACGCGGACAAGGATGTGAAGCAACAAGAACTCCCATTCTTTGCTGGAGGTACAAAAACTTTGGAAGAAGTTTGGCTGTTTCTTTAAAAACTAAACATACTCTTATCATACAATCCAAAAACCGAGCTCCTTGGTTATCTACCTTATTTACCTAAATTACTTGAAAACTTACATCCACTCAAAAACCTGTACATGGATTATTCATAATTGCCAAAACTTGGAAACAAAGATGCCCTTTAACAAGTGAATAGACAAACTGTGGTACATAGATACAATGGAGTACTATTCAAAATACTCTTCAAAAAGAGAAGATTTGTCAAGCCACAAAAAGACATTCCTAAGTGAAAGAAGCCAGACTGAAAGGGCTTTATATATACACTATATGATTCCAATTATATAACATTCTAGAGACGGCAAAACTATGGAAGATAGTAAAATGAGTAGTTGCCAGAGATTTGGAGGGAGGGAGGAAAAAACAGGTGGAACACAGGGGACTTTTAGGGCAGTGAAACTATTTTGTGTAAAGGTGGATACATGTCCTTACATTTGTCAAAACCCAAAGGATGTACAAGACAAAGAGTGAATCCTAATGTAAACTATGGACTTTGGTTGATATGGGTCAGTGTTGATTCATCAATGTTAACAAAGATACCACACTAGTGAGGAGCTGATGGTCAGGGAAGTTTTGATGGGGGAGGAAGTTATGTGGGAACTGCTCAATTTTGCTATAAATCTAAAATTGCTCTAAAAAATAAACCCTATGAAAGGTAAGGAGGGAGAAAACACAACTTGGCATTAAAAAAATTAACAGGGCCAGCCGAGTGGTGTGTTGGTTGAATTGGCTTGGGACACCGGCTCTGAGCAGCAGGGCCCCGGTTCAGATCCCACATGAGGGCCAGTGATGCTGCGCCCTCTACAGTGAAGATGGTGAACAACAGCTCAACCTGGAGCTGGGCTGCCCAAGTCGCCTGCGACAGTGTAGGCTGCAGTGGAGCTTCAGTGGGCTGCTGTAAAGCTACCATGAGTGGCTTGCAGCGGGCGTGAGCGGCCAGCAGCCAGTGTGAGCTGCCAAGAGCCACGGTGAGCGGCCGTCCAGTGGCCGGCCTGCCTCACCTGGGAAGAGCGCAATGATAATACCAACATGGGCTGGTGAAGTGACGTCGTCTACTAGACTGAAGAACAAAAGGACAGCAACCTGTCTGTTCCCCTCCCACAATTCCCCCATAAAATTAAAAAAAAAATGAATTTAAATAAATTCAAAGGGAAGGAATTTTGTTAAAAAAAAGAATTTAATAATAAAAATACATTTCAAAGTTGGAAAAAAAAGTTCAGGGTGGCCCTACAACCCTCCTGCAATACTGATGGGAAAGTAAAATGGTGCAGCCACTTTGGAATATAGCTTGGCAGTTCCTCATAAAGTTAAACATAGACTTCCTCAAAAAGTTGGACATGACCCAGCAATTCCAGTCCTAGGTATATACCCATAAGAACTGAAAACATATGGTCACACAAGTGTTAGCAACATTATTCATAATAGTCCCAAAGCAGACTCACGCAAATGTTCACCAACTGAAGGACAATCAAAAGGTAGTATAACCACACAATAGAATACTATTCCGCCAACATGGATGAACCCTGAAAACATCATCTTAAGTGAAAGAAGCCAGTTACAAAAATGCATGATTCCATTTGGATGAGATGTCCAGAACAGGCAAATCCACAGAGACTGAAAATACATTATTCTATCACAGAGACAGAAAGTAGCGGTTGCCAAGGAATGGGGAGAATTGGGATTACCCGCTTATAGGTGAAGGGTTCCTTTGTGGGGTGATGAAAATGTTCTGAAATTAGACAGTGATGATGACTGCACAACACAGTGACTACTAAAAACCACAGAAACGTACACTTTAAAGGGGTAAATTTTACGTCATGTGAATTGTATCTCAATTTCTTAATAAGTTTTTTAAAAGCTAAGCATGGGCCTAAGGAATGAATGTTCCTAACACTAACATCAACAGCTAGCTGCTAACATCACAAAACACAAACAACTGATGTGTACCTTCTGATGGAAGACAGCTTCACTGCCTGTGAAGTAGTCTTACTCTCCCCCTCCCACCCAAAAAAAGGAAATAAACCAATTCTGATCAAGCCCCTAGATCCAACTAACCAAGTAATGGGGAAAAACAAACAGGACAACAGAACATGTTAAACTGTACCACAGGGAAGCATTCAGCAAAACAGACTCTGGGAGCCTCTATAGGACTAAAGATCTGATTTCTTCAATAAAAATTGACAAGGAAAAGGAAAGAAAGACGAAAGGGTTCCAATCACAGTGCTATTTGAATCCTGATTCAAAGCAATTTTTCAAAGATAACTGAGAAATTTAAAAATCTGAACAGTGGCTATTTGATAATATTGAAGAATTGTTCCTTTTTCTTAACAATTTGGTAATAACTACAATAATGGTACTGTAGTTGTCTTTTAAAAAGTCCTTACCTTTTACATATACATGAAATATTCATAGATGAAAATATATATGCTCCTGGGAATTGCTTCACAATAATTTGGGATAGGGAAGGAGTACTAGATAGAAGTATAAATAAAACAAGACTGGTCATGCATGAGTTGTTACTATTTAAGACGAGTGACAAGTTTGTGGGAGGTACAGATACTATATTACTTTTGTGAATGTTTAAAACTCTCCATAATAAAAAATTAAAGGGTATATGTAATAATCACATTTACAATATAGAAGATAAACTGTTAAGAGAGGGGCGTGAATAGAGGGAAACTTGTTAAGATTACTCCAGAGAATTCAAGCAGGAGGGGCAACCTAAACTAAGACAGTGGTAGTAAAGAAATGAAAACCAGATTAAATCAGGGTTATTTCCTTAGGTCAGTGGTTAGGTTTTATGGATATTTTATGCAAAAATTTTTATTCACCCATTGAGCTAAGGTATGTATTAAGAACCTAAAATATGGCCAGCTGAGTGGCGCATTGGTTAAGAGCTGGTTTGGGACGCGAGGTCTGAGCAGCAGGGCCCCGGTTCGGATCCCACATGAGGGCCAGTGACACTGCCCTCTACAGCTAAAATGGTGAACAACAGCTTGACCTAGAGCTGGGCTGCCATGAGTCACCGGCAATGGCGTAGGCTGCAGCCCCTGCTGCGGTGGGCTGCCATAAGCTACCGTGTGTGGCCGGCAGCCAGCGTGAGCGGCCAGCAGCCGGTGTGAGCTGCCAAGAGCTGCTGTGAGCGGCCGTCCAGAGGCCAGCGAATGACCTGCCTCACCCGGAAAGAGCGCAATGATAATCCCAACATGGGCCAGTGATGCAACAACATCCTCCACAACTAGAATGAAGAACAAAAGGACAGCAACTTGTCTGTTCCTCTTCCCCTGACTCCCCAATAAAATCTTTAAAAAAAAAGAACTTAAAATAATTCTTGGCATTCAGTAAGTGTTCAATAAATATTAGGTATTTATCTGAAAACCCATTATCCACACAGGTTTTCCATCACCATTTATTTTCTTAGCATCCTGTTAATTTCTGGTTTAATCACCCCTCATTATTTCTAGAATACAAGCTCCATGAGGGCAAGATCCTTATTTCAAACATCATTATATACCCAGGGCCTAGCACAAAGTAGCCCTCAAATACATTCACTGAATAATTATACGTACTAGATCAGTAAAACTCAAAGACTCAACAACAAAAGAAATCAATTGTGCCAATCTCACTGGATTGTTTTTAGGATTAAACGAGTAAATACTGAAGCATTAGACTACTACTTAGCAAATAATAAATAATAAATGTTAGGTATTAAGATGGTAAGTGATAGCTAAAAATCTGATTTCAAATGAAATATATAGTGAAAACAAGAAAACCAGAACCCCAGATAACAATTGAGAACAAAGGAGAAACATATGGGAACATATGAAGAAAAATGGTTAAGTGGACCAAAGGAAAATAGGGAATTACAGAGTGGAAAACAAAGAAAAGGATTTTGAGGAAGAATCAGTCAATAGCAGAAGGTGTTGGTTGGGTGCATATGGTCAGTCTATAAGAAGGCCACAGGTTGGCAATTTGAAGGTCAACCATCAACAGAAAAAAAAAGTGTTCTGCAAAGTGTTCAGATGGGTATTAAGGAACGAGTAGAGCAAAAAAGTCAGATTATAGAGCAGTGTTAAGGGGTAAATGGAGAAAAGAATTCTAGATTAGTGGTCCCTAGACTTTTGGTTTTCAAGGGTTTCAAAATGAAACAGTGAAAATGTCATAAGGTTGTGAACTCTTAATTTTATCAAATAAAATATTTTTACTCTACTGTCACCATCATTTAAAATAGGAAACTGCATAACAGCAAAAATTTATGAAAACTACAATTCTCAGAACTTTTATGAAAAATCACTATACAGTTCTTATTTTTTTTTTAAATATTTTTATTGGGGAATTGGGGGGATGGGAACAGTGCTGGGGAATTGGGGAAAGGGGAACAGACAAGTTGCTGTCGTTTTGTTCTTCAATCTAGTTGT